ATATTTCGGTAACAGAGAGAAAATCTCCCTCATTCTTATTTCCCAAACTATTTTTGGTTCTTCCTAAGTGTTATTCTACCAGAGGCACCTTAATGTCAAAGTTAAATTCCTCCCCAAAATCACTGGATTGTCTTAAATTTTTGTGTTACTAAAGGGGTTTCTATTATGTTTATAATATGCCTTTTTCCCATCTTAGTCATGGTCTGTCTCACTATTTATTTAGGTGGTTTTTTGTGTATCATTTTATTTGTATAGATAGTGCTTTTTTTTATTCCTCACTGTTATACAGTTTCTCTTACTATTATTGTGAATGGGATCTTTTTTCATTATATTTTGTAACTGACTTACTATGATTTGTGTATTAATTTTATATTTTATGTCTACCATCATCTAAATTCTTATTATCATAATAATGTTTTTGTTGTCATAAATTTTATTTACCAAAAATATAAGGCCAGTGTATACAAGGAAGAAACACTTAGAAGGAGATTTTGGGGAAAGGAAAACAAAATCTGAATTCTCTTTTGCAATTTGACAAAGTACAGAAAAATATAAGTAAGGATCTGTATGAGACAAACTCTTGTTAGTAAAGCACTTTACACTTAAAGTACTCACCTTATACTCTATGGAACAAAAAGTAGGTATGTGCATAGTCATAAAGAAAACAATAATAAATTTTACCAAGTGGAAATTGTACAGCTTATATTCTCTGACCATGACGCAATAAAACCAGAAATTCAATGATCAAAAGATAACCATAAATAACCTGACCATGTGGAAATTTAAAACACTTTTCTAAATAGTTTACTTTTCAAATTTGTTTACTTTTGGATTAAAGAAGAAATTACAGGTAAATCACATATTATTTAAAGATTAGGGGCTGTCTTGTTGGCGCAGCAGTTAAGTTCGCACGTTCGGCTTCGGCAGCCCCGGGTCCACAGGTTCGGATCCTGGGTGCAGACATGGCATCGCTTGGCAAGCCATGCTGTGGCAGGTGTCCTACATATAATGTAGAGGAAGATGAGCACAGATGTTAGCTCAGGGCCAGTCTTCCTCAGCAAAAAGAGGAGGATTGGCAGCAGGTGTTAGCTCAGGGCTGATCTTCCTCAAAAAGAATAAATAAAGATTAACAAAAATGAGAAAAGGTCACTTAAAAATATATAACTACATGTTTTGTCATTAATCAAAATTGGAAATAAATTGTCCAAGTTTCATCTCAAAAATTAATAAATAAAAACAAAGAAACTTGGAGAGGAGAATTTTAAAAGATAAAATAGAAGTAACAAATTATAAAATAAAGCAATAATCCTCCCAAAATGGAAATAAAACTCAATGTTAGTTTTTTTAAATAAATAATATAGCTAAACTCCTGACAAACCTGACTGATATAAAGAGAACACAAAAATATACAACGTTAAGAAAGAGAAAATTTTCTCTTTCTTAGAAAACCAAGGAAACAGATGAGAATTAAAATAATTTTAAGAAATACTATGTACAAATTTAAGCCAATACATTTTTAAAACTAGATTAAAGATTTTCATGGGGAAATCCATTATCATTACCAAAACTGACTCAAAAAGAGATTGAAACCTGAACAGACTAATTACCAAGAAGAAATTTACAAGATTGTTAAAGACATACTGCTAAGAAAGATCCAGATCCAGATCCAGATGGTTTTACAAGTGAGGCCCTTCAAGGGACTGCTTATTCTTGTGTTGCTTATAATATTCCAGAATATTAAAAAGGATGGAAAGCTTGCACATTCCTAATATCAAAACATGAAAAGTTAACACAAAAAAACTATAGATCAGTCTCAGTTATAAATATAAGTTAATGTCCTAAATATATATTAGCAAATAGAACCCAAAAGTCTGTTAAAAGAGTAATAAGCCATGATTAGGGATATTTTATCCCAAGAAAGCAAGGATGGTACAAATCAGGAAAGCTATTAATATAATTAACCTATCATTAATAGAATAAAAGAGAATGATCATCTGGTCATTATTAATATTTTTTAAAACATTTGATAAAAATTTATTATCCCTTTTGAGTAGTAGCTAAATTTTAAAAGGAATAGAAGGGAACTTCCTAAACTTATCAATATTGTTCTTATTTTAGTTGACTACACGTTTATTTGGTGATCATAATGAGAGTCACTGATTAAAGTACTGAAAATGAAGATAGTTTTACTAAAGTGTTTTAGGATGAGAAGTCAATCAGAAATCACAGTCTCTTTAGAACAGCTTAAAATAATGCTGTATTCAGATTAAACTTTTCATCTCATATGATGCTAGACTTTATTTTGAACTGAGGTGAGAAGATAAATGTATGACCCCACAATGCCTGTGTATGTCTATAAACCACTTAAGGACGGTTTGCATCTGTACTTTGTTTACAGTGTATCAGAGAAGTAGGGCAGTGTTCCTCCAGCTAGAAATATTAGTAAAGCAGAAGTAAATTACGTAACTAAAAACTACAGCCCGGAATCAGACACTCTTCTTAGCAAAAATAGTAAGTACCTTCTTTTTGGGGAATGACTGGTAATTAAATGATTGCCTTAAAATCGTTATTTTGATATTTATTACATTCCAAGTGTTGCATGCGCAGTATTATGATGGGCATTTACTGACATAACCATGGATAAAATCGGGTCTGTGCCCTCTAGAATGAACCATAGTATGAACTGTGTTACAAGGTATGATTTTTCAGATAGCGATGGGTTCAGGGAGGTGATGGTGTCAAACCTGGGCTTTGTAGGATAAGTAGAATTTCCACATGTAGAGAAGAGAAGGAAGAGCTTCCCAGGCTAGAACAGTGTCTGCAAAAGCATGGAAGCAGGAGCTGGATGATATGTTTGTATAACTGAGTGGTGCTCAAACCTCATCAAGGGTTAGGGTTACCTGAAGAACTTTAAAAAAAAAGAAAAAGAATTCCGGGGGCCCCACCCATGGAGATCTATTTCAGTGAGAGCAAGATAAAGCCCAGACACCTATGTTTTTCTAAAACATGGATGATTCTGATGCACAGTCAGGGTTGAGAACCAGTTTTGTGGTCTCATATGTGACTAAGCTATAAGGGAGATGGAAGTACTGTGGGAGATGATGCTGGAAAGATATATGGGAGCCAAATGATAACCAAGTGACATTGTTTTGGTTTGTAGGGGTTTTTTTTAATTTCTATTACATCACCACCATCCCCCCATTAGATATCAACCAGATATCCCTTAAACAAAACTTGACCCCTTGTGTGAATTCAAAGCAAAGCATGTTAAATGAGATGAAGAAGAGGAACCAGTTAAGAATCTTGTTGCAGTTAGATATTACTGTATAATTGACCCCAAAACTTAAAACAATAACCATTTTATTATTACTCACAATCCTGTGAGTTGACTGGACTCAGCTGGGCAGTTCTTCTGCTCTCTGTGGCAGTGGCCACAGTCATCGGGGGGATCAGTTGGGCTTGAATGTCTAAGATGGCTCACTCACATGGCTTTCAGCTGAGGACTCAGCTGGGGCTGTTGACCAGAGCATCTTCATGGGCTTCTCACTGCATGGCAACTGGGTTCCAAGAGCAAGTGTCTTAAGAGCAAGCATTCAAAAAGGCCCAGGCTACCAGACTTTGGTAGTCCCAGCTGTTACTTCCACCATATTCTGTTGGTCAAGCAAGTCACTAAGGCCAACTCAGATCCAATGGAGGGTGAATTAAAAACTCCATTCCTTGATAGGAGGAACAGCATGTGCATACAAGGAAAGAAGGAAATGACAATCATTTTTTGGAGAATTGTTGCTGCAGTCTTAATATGCCAAGTGCTATAGCATCAAAATACATAAAGCAGAATTTCAGAAAATTTAGGTAGATATCAACAGAAGTACAATCAGACAAAACAGTAAGTAAGAATAAAAGGAATCCGAATAATATAAAATGCTTATGTAATAGATTTATGTATTAAATTCCTTATCTGACAATAAAGAATGCATCTTCATTTCAGGCATCCATAGAATATCTGCTCACCCCTGAAAAAAGCAGCACTTGAACCCCTATATACTCTTATAAATCTGAAACCTTAATGATACATTTCCCTTGCCTCTCAACATTGCAGAAATAGTGTTTGTTGATGGCTAGACACTGCTCTGTGTTAAAGGAGCTTCTTCCCATTTTGGAATCTCTTCCTCTGGATGACTTTTTTACACATGGTATAAACAATTGGGCTACACTTTCTCTCTTAAGTTCTTCATTTTTTATTTGTTTTCTGAAGAGAGCAGCATTGAAGGCTTTATTTTGATTCTCCACAGTCTCACCATAAGAGTAGTTTTGACTTGTCCTGGGTGCTCTGTAGACTTCAGGGTCACCATCCAGCAGCTTCTGGAATTGTCTTCTGATTTCCCAAAAATGCTGACCAGGGAATTGAGCTGGAATCATTGCCATCCCTATTATCCATATATTGTTTTTCTAAGCACTTTAAAAAGTGATAGTTTTTGGGCTGGCCCCGTGGCCGAGTGGTTAAGTTCGCCGCTCCGCTGCAGGCGGCCCAGTGTTTCGTTGGTTCGAATCCTGGGCGCGGACATGGCACTGCTCATCAGACCACGCTGAGGCAGCGTCCCACATGCCACAACTAGAAGGACCCACAACGAAATATACAACTGTGTACCGGGGGGCTTTGGGGAGAAAAAGGAGAAAAATAAAAAAAATCTTAAAAAAAAAAAAAAGTGATAGTTTTAAGATTATTTTTTTAAGTCTTTGCTTTGCTTTCTGAAACTCAGTTATTTTACCATCCTAGTAAGACACACAGAGTCTGAGGTGGGAACCCAGGTTGTGGGGATGATGTAATTTCCTGGCCTGTCAGTGATGAGTCCTAGTTACTTATTGCTTCTATCTCACTGTCCCCATATGATTATAGGGGTTCTTTCCGAACTGGGTCGTTGCATTAAACCAGCCAGGATGAGGAGTTTAAGCAAACAGCCATCTTCCTCAGTAACACTCAGATCTGTTTGCTGTTGCAGGTCGTCACGCTGTGGTACAGAGCTCCAGAAGTCTTGCTTCAGTCCAGCTACGCCACCCCTGTGGATCTCTGGAGTGTTGGCTGCATATTTGCAGAAATGTTTCGTAGAAAGTAAGAAATACCTTTTGTTTCACTCTGTCTTCCTTGGAAAGAGATTTTGTGGGTCTTCAGTAATTTAAGTGGCAGCGTAGCCTTTCTGTTTCAGGTAGAGTCGTGGTATCTAAATCCACCTAGTTCGGGCTGCCACTTCCAAGTCTGTCCTGAAACTGCCTTCTCAGCCGTCACAGTGTGGTTTTGGATGACTGGAGCTTCCAGCTCTTGGAAGCTCTGTTTGGAAAGGAACACTCCACTGTTCTGAAGTTTATTTTGTTTTTGTTGGTGATGATAGGACATGGTGAACATGAAGCATATTATGGTATTTTTTTAGTGAGGAAATATCCTCAAGGTGGACTTTGTCCACAGGAGGAAGACCAGGGCTGTTAAGTTTATGGAAATGTTGATGGTGAGAATAGTTGAAAAAGCAGAACATTTAGACTGAAAAGAAAGAGGCAAGGAAGACGTCAGCACTACTTCAGACTACTTTAACTGCTGTCACATGGAGGAGAGATTAGACATATTTGGGAACTATGGAGAGCAGAACTAGGACCAAAGATACTGAAATTACAGAAATAAATATTTTTTCTCAGAAGGAGGAAAAAAATCTAATGATTAGACGGTTATCTGAAGAAGAGATTGGGGTTCATGAAAATAGTACGTTCTCATTGAGTGTCAAGAAGAGACTGGACCACCACACATTGGAGGTGTTTTCAACAGCATTCGTAGAGTAGGTGGGTGAGCTTGATGACCTCCAGGGCCCCTCTGACTCTGAGAGTCTGTGATTCATTTGTTTGATTTTCAGGTCACAAGAAATAGCCGAACAATATAATAAACATCTGCCAGGAAAATAATCCATACCTGGGTACTAAATTCAGCCTGGTCAAAATTAGACAAAGAACTTAATCATAATCTAATCTCTCTTTGTTTTCTATTTTTATTTCCATGGGAAAATGTGAGTTGGGAAGCTGAGTATATTCCCATCAGACATGTTATATTCGAAATGTAGCTACATGATAGCTCACAAGGAAGAGAAGTGGTCAGCCATTGCTTGCCTGCCTGCTTGTTTGTCTGCCTGCTTGTTTGTTTGTTTGTTTTAACCAAATCAAGTGTGGTTCATGTAATAAATTTTGGAACCTATTTCTAGAACTCAGCAGATTCATCTGTAGCTCACAGGAGGGGATCACAGCAAGAAAATCAGAGTACACAGATGTTTAATGCAGACCTACTGTGTGCCAAGTACAGGACAAAACCTCTTCCCTTATGTTACTTTTTTATTCCTCACAATAAAAGATAACTGAGATGCAGTGGCAAACTTATTTGTGTGACATCAAGCAACTGAAAAGAAGCAAGGGTATTACTCCAAAGGAAGTCTTGTGAGTTCTAATCTAGTGTTGTTTTTGTACCAAGGAGGAACGAAAAAAAAGTGGTAGTGAATTTGGCTGCAGTGTTTGCCAAACAGGCTAAATAAGTGGTTTTGGAAATGTGGTCCTTGGAGCAGCAGCCTGAATATCACTGGGGACCTTGTTGGAAAGGCAAATTCTCTGGCCCCACCCCAGAACAACTGGATCAGAACCTCTTGGGCTGGGGCTCAGGAACCTGTGTTTTAACACACTCTCCAGGTGATCCTAATTCACCCTCCAGGGTAAGAACCACTGGGTTGGATGACAGAATTACCAGGGATGGGCATTCTTTAAGTGTGTAACTCCCAGACCTCTCCCTTGAGATTCTGATTTATTACTGGGCCAGGGCCTGGCATTCTTGTTTGTAAAAGTGCCTCATGTAATTCTTTTCATCAGACAAGTGTGGAAAACATTGGGCTAAAGCCTTATGGTCAGAACTGAGAATAATCTACTATCAAGATTGCAGGGTGGGGGACGGCCTGGTGGCGCAGCTAAGTGCGCACATTCTGCTTCTCAGCAGCCTGGGGTTCACTGGTTCAGATCCTGGGTGTGGACCTGGCGCCACTTGGCAAAAGCCATGCTGTGGTAGGCGTCCCATGTATAGAGTAGAGGAAGACGGGCACGGATGTTAGCTCAGGGCCAGTCTTCCTCAGCAAAAAGAGGAGGATTGGCAGTAGTTATCTCAGGACTAGTCTTCCTCAAAAAAAATAATAATTGCAGAGTAGGAGTTAGGACAGTCATTCTAGTTAATCCCTAAATAACTTGGTGCAGCTGAGGGTTGATTAGAGAAGTGTTTATTGGAATTACATTTATGTGTGTCTAAATTGTCCTCAAATGTAAAGATTGGGTCTTTTTTTGTTATGGGGGGTGATCAGTTATTTTTCAATAGTACAAGACTTGAATATCTGGCATAATTGATGGTAAAAACAATATTTTTCTAAAAGATGTTAAAAGGAAGATAAAAGTTAAGATATATGGTTAAGCATTCACTAGTAAGGAATTTGCTGTATTTTTAAGTATAGGTAGTCACCACCAATGGAACAATTGCAACCCAAATTTTCATTTTATTATATTAAAATATTTTCCCACTGAAGTGGTAGTATAATTGCTAATCTGGTTCCCAGTCTAGTTTGCAGAATTCTACATAACCTGGAACATACGTGAAACGTTATTTGCACTAATTCATCAAAACCTGTTTCCTGTTTATAACATTTTTGCTATTGGAAAATTCGTTCTGTGATCCAATCCAAGAAGATGGGAATACTCCTCTCTTCACCTCAGCATTGGATCTGGGAGGGGGAACACCATGTTGGAGGCTCAAAGAAAGGCTCCTGTGATGATAGCAGCAACACTCTGCTTCAGTTTGCTGGGAAAGTGAGATGTCGGGTAGAGACCCATTGGCTTTTCAAAATGTGCACAAAAGAAAGTACCCTCTCTTGGAGCCTTGCACAGAGGTAGTAAATTGAGAAATAGTTGCCTGGAGGAGATAGCAGTATCAGAACCCAGGCCCGTGTGTCTTTAAGGCTGAAGGAGAAGGAATCTGGGCCTACCACACACCCTTCCTGGGGCGGGTGCCCCGTCTCCAAGGTAGTTCCTGCCAATTTGGCTGTGACATTGAATATGGCCATGGGATCTGACCCTTGTTCCTGCTCAGTTCACGTTTGGTATTTCCTATGATGTCACCCAGATATCTGAATGTGCATGCTTCTTTCTTATGCCAGATGTGTTCTGGGGTCCAACCCCCAGCTTGACCTAGTTCCAGCTTGACTCTTCATTCATTGTTGACTCACCTGTTGCACTGTCCAGCTGAGAATTCACAAGCCATGGATTCTGAAAGCAGACTCCCTCATTTCCTTAGGCTAACCCTAAATCAGGGAATTCTGGGATATGTCCACTCTGGGTTCCTACTTGTTGTTGTGGCAGTAGTTCCCAAATTTTGTCATTTTTTTTAACCCGTCATGGTTTTTTTCATATTTTTATGACAACTATACTTACTGAATTTTTTTACTGAGCTAAATCAATTTACTTTTTTATTTTATCCTCATCCTAGGCGAAAATATATAAAATCACAGATTTGATGAACCACTTATTTATTTGCATAATACACATGATAATAAATATATCACCATTAAAATTATTGAGAAACTTAGTCCATGTTCAACCCCTGAAATCATCTCACACCTCACCAATGGTATATGTTGCATGTTGGAAACCCTGTAATAGGTATATCATTCAGTCTACAAATAATTTGTTGAGTGCCTACTATATGCAAGGCCCTTTTCTAGAGGGGTAACTTAAATCCTAGTGGGGAAAAGAGGCATTGCGTGCACAATTAGTTAATTAACCAGAGCTGGGTAAGTGCTTGAAAAAGTATAAGGTTCTGAGAATGGGTATAATGAGAAGACTATTTCCAGAGAGGGAAAGAGATTACTCAGTGGAAGGCTAGAAGTCAGGATTAACGTTCCTTAGAGGTCACATCCAAGTTGTTTATATGAAATCGTTGAAGAATAATCATTTATGCTTCAGCAAGGCTCACCATCCTGCATTACCTAAGGAGAAAAAAAAGAAGCAAAGGGAGTTAACACTTGTCACATGTCAGACCAGGGCTGGTCCCTTCACATGCATTATCTCATTAAACCCATATTCTGAGGACTATTATCCAGAGTTTCCAGGTGATAAACTAGAGCCTTCCACAAGGAGGGTAAATAACCTGTCCATGGTCACACAGCTCTTAAATGGCAGAGCCAAATTTGAACCCAGGTCTGCCTGACTCTGTAACCTTTGATTTTTCCACTCTGCCATGTTTCTGCCCATACTGTTGTTTTACCTACTAGACCATACTTTTTTCTGGAATGTTTTATGTGTTATTACAGTGTAGCATCAATGATATTTTAGAGAGGTCAAGAAGCAAATGACACATTTAATAGCTTTGATTTCCAGTTTTCTCCTACATTGGAAAGGTTAACCACTTCTCTGTGATGTTATTAAGAGGTGCCTGCCTTCTGTTCTAAAATGGAATACCTAGGAAATGTGAATTCAATAAAAAGAGTCTTAGGGAAGATGGTTGACAAAGAGCCGGAGAGTTTAAATACCATCTACCACTATTATCTGGGTTTAATAATTGCCCACACTGACCCACAGAAGCATTCTAAGAATGGATAAGAGCTGGATTTTTTATCTTCCTCCTTTAACTCTTCATCCATGAGTAATCCATCTTTATTCCACATTGAGTTATATTTTAATACTAAAAAACATTGCTATGAATTTGGTCTGTAGACAACTAGCCAGCTTGAAGGATGGGATAGGATGGGATGGAGAAGTGGACAGATGGATGAGATAGATTGATCTTTAACTTCATAGCAAATCAAATCCACAATTGTTAACTCTCCAGGTAGCTGTCGGTTGTCTTGTGATCCTCGTCAGAACGGTTGTCTGTGGTTTGAAAGTCATGAGGTTTTCCAGGTTATAGCAAAGTCATAAAAAGAGAACACAAATCAAAAAAATAAACCATGCTACTAATTCTTTGAATATGGAGATTGTGGTAAACAGATAATAATTCTTAGAAGCTCTCAGTTGCCAGCTGTACTGATTCCTAGCTAAGAAATGCCAAATGTC